AAAATCGCAATGCGAAATGAAAATCGCATTGCGATTTTCTCGTTGCGATTTTTATTTCGCATTGCGATTCTCTCGTTGCGATAGTCAGTTTCGTGTTGCGATAGTCTGTTTTGCCTTCAACATAATGCAGATTGAAAATCAACAAATCAACTATTACATTTCAATCAATTAAACAAGCACAAATAAGAATTATGTACACATCAATTAAACAAATCAACATTTACAAATCATTTTTTACAAATCAATTAAACAATCAAAAAATAATAATAATTCTTATTTCCTCATCAATTATTGAATCAATGAATCAACTTTTGCACCCGTACATCCATTTCACGCAGCTCACTTAAGGATTAACCTGCAGAAACCAAACATTTGCTCAAACAAGACTTCCTACACATCTAAAACCTACAAACAGCAAATTATTGAATTCTAGGTACTTAACCAAACATTTTCAAACCAAAAGGAGTATATATTAACAAAACTTGCATTTGACTTACCAATTAACAATAGATACTTTCATAACGCGGATGCAGGTAGGCAGCGTCTCGAATATATTGCTCTAGCCATATAATGCCGAAACCACAAGCCTACTGCAGCTCTATCTCTATCGGTGGGAGGTAGAAACTCTGTGCTTCCCGTCGTCAAACGCGCCAAGCACATGCATACGAGAGGACCACAATCCCCTCTGGCTCCCGGTGATTGTTGTGGCGCGGTCTCGTCTCTGACAACTGTGACATTGAACTTCTTTGGCTTCTTGTGTCCAGAATGAGTCCAATAATTAATCTCATCCAAGAATTTAGCCAAATGAGAGCTCCATCCCTTGATAATATCTCTCAAATCAGACAGTGATATGTAATTTATCATGTTGTCATATACTATTATCTTCAGGGATGGGAGCTGAAGTTGGACGAGGAGCCAATGACGACGTTCCAAAACAGGGATAAACACCTGCAATCATAAGTAATAATTCATTTATTTGCGCACTTATTTATGAACACCTTTAAAAAATTTAAAAAATAAACACTAACCTTATCGACCTCCCACCATGCAGGATAAAGTTTAGCTTGTCCATTGCCCAACGAAAATGATTCATCTCGTTGATTCTTCAAGTGAACTGCGTGAAAAGCCGCCGGCATTATTGTATATTGCGAATTTTTTTTATTTTTCCTAAGCTTCCTTATTATTAGAAGACGTGACACCCACGCATCGATATGCTGTTTTACAAAAAAAGACATATATTAGTGAATTACATTAATTTTTAAAAAAAAATAATCAAAATCATATATAAGACAAATATAAGACTTACCTCTCCATCGAAATAACCACTGTCTTCAACCCCTAATAACACACCCCACCAAGACCGATTAAGCAACAAATACATCTCATCGTTGAGTTTGCTTATGTCAGTGTAACACCCTTGGCTCCGCTCATGTAGATAAAAATCAACTGCGGTCTTAGCCCAAAGGGTATTATCCAGAATTGTTTCCGGTAGTTGTCTCCTCTCCACTTCAGATACCGGAAAGGTACTAGCCGGTAACTCATACGAGAGCCAACTCTCATCCATCATGTCCGGAAACGGTGGGGGTTTCTCAATAATTCGATATATTACCCCATGTGAATCGGGCTCTGGAATCGTGGGAGGGACCTCTTCAACGATGACAGTGGCCTCTTGAACGGTGGGGGGGACTCTTGAGGGATGATAGGGGCCTCTTGAACGATTGAAGGGGACTCTTGAGGGATGACAGGTGAGTCGGGCTTCTTCTTCCGGAGTCTTCGCACCATTGGGGTGAACGGAGACGTAATAGCACGTGCATGCCGTCTGATGCGTGAACTCCGTCGTGCAAGGAAAACCCGACGTAAAGCATCCACCTTATCGGGCCGCTAAAAAAATTAATACATAAATCAGTAAATAAACATACATGATATTAAACAAAGACAAATATGTTTCAAACTTGCATTGTATTCACCCAAGTCATTATTCTATCATAGTTCACAAAATGCATCAGATAACATTTCAGAAGTAAGCACTTATATAAACATTTAAAATGACAACATATATAAACATTCCAGAAGAATAATAGTTTACTTTCGCAACACGAAACTTACTTTCGCAACGCGAAAATGACTATCGCAACGCGGAAATGGCTATCGCAACGAAAAAATAGCAATGCGAAATGAAAATCGCAATGACAAAATCGCAACGCGAAACACAAATGGCATTGCGATTTTCATTTCGCGTTGCGATTTTTTCGTTGCGATTTTCATTTCGCATTGCGATTTTGTCGTTGCGATTTTCATTTCACATTGCGATAGCCATTTCCGCATTGCGATAGTCATTTTCGTGTTGCGAAAGTAAACTATTCTTCTTCTGCAAATTGAAACTTGAATGGATTGCATTACTTCAACCAAAAGACAAAAACAAAACCAAAAACAAATACTAACAAAAACAGTTTAGCAGTATTGGCAGCAACCGAATGAATTTATTAAGCAATCTAAGTGAAATGGTTAATCTAAGTGAAATTACGAGTAAATTTATCATCAAGTTAAATATGAAAAATCTTAAACTTACCTCGTTGCGTAGAGTATGAACCTCATTCTGCAACGATACTACCATCTCACGTAGAGCGGCTACCTCACCGCGTAAAGTAGACACCTCAACACGCCATGCACCATCGTCTTTGCGTAAAGTACCGACCTCCTCACGCAAGGCATTGACCTCACCACGTGATAGTGGAGAAGAGGCTCGATGATGTGACAGAATAGGTGATGGCTGTCGTTGTGGAGGTGTATAGTCGGGTCGATCAGGTGATGGCTCTGGGTAAGGTGATAGCTCTGGGTGAGGTGATGGCTCCCGAAGTGGAGGCTGCTCATCATCCGTGCCATCAAAAAAACGCTTACTAGCTTGCCACCAATCAGTGGCAAGCTCAGCTTCCGTGAGTGTCAGCCTTTGTAATGGAGTGTTGGCCTCCTAACAATATAAAAGCTCAAACAAAGTTAAACGTGTACTAGTAATAACTTGTTAGAAGGCATACTCGGACAACATCGACGTCATCCATCCGAGTAAAACCATCTTTCTTATTCAATAATCTCGTCAGGTATTCCACGTGTAGATTCGGCCTCTCCAGCTCAGGAAAAACCCGGGATAACCATGATGGGCGGGTAATGTGTCTAGTGTACCGACCTACATCATCGTGTCCGAAGCGTAGACCGGTGATTAAGCAAAACTCCTCCCGCCCAAAACAAGTATACGCCGGTGGAAAATCAAACCATATTTCTTCATCACGACGTTGTATAGTATCTGGTAGATCGTTAGTCATGGTTTGAAGAAACAGGTGTGTCAACATCGCATCTCCACCGGGATGTTGTACTTTCAGCCATGGCCCGAAGCAAGTATCCTCAAACATTTTTCTTTGTGCAGGTGAAAGCTTCGACGCAATTGTTTTGGCCAGGCTGACTTTATTTCTTAAGGTCAATTAAGCCGAATAAAAGTTCTACAAAAACAATAAACATACTAAGTTAGATATACCAAAAACTACACTGTGAAGATATACCAAAAACAATAATAAACATAAAGAGTAGTAGTTTATTCTTCAAACTTAAATTTGCAACACTGTGAATTTCTTATTTGTCTTTGTTTTTTGATTGAAGTAATGCAATTCATTCAAGTTTCAATTTGCAGAAGAAGAATAGTTTCTGAAAATGAAAATCGCAACACGAAAATGACAATCGCAACGCGAATTTAACTATCGCAACGAGAGAATAAAATCGCGTTGCGATTTTTTCGTTGCGATTTTCATTTCGCGTTGCGATTCTCGGTTGATTTAATAAGCAATCTAAGTGAAATGGTTAATCTATTATTGAAATTACCAGTAAACTTATCATCAATTTCAATATGAAAAACCTAATAATAATGCAAAAATTTCAAAAAGAAAATAATTTAAAAAACTAACCCTCGGTGGTTGATTTTCCATTTCTGATTGTGAGGGTGGCTCTGAGAGATGGAGATAGATGGATTTCGCCGGGGATGGGGACAGATTTCGTCGGAGATGGGTGAGAGAGTGAGAGATGGAGATGAGATTGAGTTGTGATTTTAGGTTTTAGGTTATGAGTTGCGATTACGGGATATACTGTGGACGGTTCAGTGTTCCAATATATTAATATTCGTGTTTGGAATTTGAAAATAAAATACGCTTTGCGATACTAATGGCGCTTTGAAAATCGCATTGCGATTATGTATTATCTCGTTGCGAAAGTCAGTATCGCGTTGCGAAAGTAAGTATCGCGTTGCGAAAGTCAGTATCGCGTTGCGAAAGTCAGTATCGCGTTGCGATTTTGTATTATCGCGTTGCGATTTTGTATTATCGCGTTGTGATTTTCCAAATTCGCATTGCGATTTACTTATTCGCATTGCGAATTGGGAAAATCGAAACGCGAAATTAGAAAATCGCATTGCGATAGTCATAATCGCGTTGCGAATCTGGAAACTGATTTGCGATAATGGAGATCGCGTTGCGAATTAGCGATCGCATTGCGATTTTGTTAGTCATTTTGGCAAATCCGAAAAAAAGTTGGTTAAAATCGTATATTATATGGGATTTTTGATCACTGAGGTTATTTTCTCTTATAGTTATTAAATTAATTAAAATTAAGATCATATTAATATAATATTAATATATAAATATTAAGTATAAGTATATAATTATATTAATATATAAATATTAAGGATAAATGTATAATTATATTAATAAAAATATATAATTATATTGATTTGATCAACATCATTTAAATAATTAAATAATAATAATAATAATTAAAATATTAATAATAATTAAAGTAAAAATAAATAATTAAGTAGAGTATAATTTGCCTTAAATTTATTTGAAATTTAATGCTTGTGTTTTTGATGATTCATCCAACACCAACTAAAATTATCAATGACACAAATTACACCGGACAAAAACTATTTAGATAAGTTCATAGGCTGTAGGATAAGAAACGGATACATTAAACAAGAAAACCATTCATTTTACCCATTCTCACAAAACTTATTACAAGCAAGCAATTTGCTATTACATATATGAAAGCATCATCGAGAAGTGACGTCGTCTTGGGTTTTCAAGGACACTTGTGCTTGTTGCGGTGGGTTCTCATGTCGGTGTAACATTTGCCACACATTTCTCTGTTGCCATAAGTCCCTGGTGGAACACATTTGCATCTGTCGCAGCATGTGACACAAGCTCTCAAGCAGAGGTTGGTCCTCGAATGTAATTTACACCGTTGTCCACATAATGGGATGCAATCTGCCGATCAAAATTGTCCAACAGGATGTGGTCAGAGAATTAAAGGATAAAGTTGCCTACTGTTATGGAAAAGCTGACGTTGGATTTATTTTAACTCTGGTAAGTGGGGAAAATAAAGAGTTTTTACCCTTTCTTGTCCTAACAGGCGGCAATGGTGGACTTGGTGGCTTGTAAGGAGGTGTAGGAGTTGTCGGTGGCTTGTATGGTGGTGTAGGGGGCTTAACTGGAGGCACTGGGGTAGGCGGCTTATATGGTGGAGTTGGTGCTTTGGTTGGGGGTGCTGGTGCTGGTGCAGGAGTCGGAGGCTTATATGGTATGGTAGGAGGCTTGACTGGTGGTGCAGGAGACGGTGGCTTATACGGTGGAGTTGGGGCCTTGACTGGTGGTGCAGGATACGGTGGTTTTGGGGCCTTGACTGGTGGTGCAGGAGACGGTGGCTTATACGGTGGTGTTGGGGCCTTGACTGGTGGTGCTGGAGACGGGGGCTTATATGGTGGAGTTGGGGCCTTGGTTGGGTGTACTGGAGATGGTGGCTTATATGGTGGTGTAGGGGGCTTGACTGCTGGTACTGGAGACGGTGGCTTATACGGTGGAGTTGGGGCCTTGCCTGGTGGTGCTGGGGTTGGAAGTTTATACGGGGGAGTAGGGGACTTTGTTGGTGGTGCTACAGTGGGAGGCTTCACCGGGACAGCAGCCTTAATCTGAAGTGTGATATGCAACAATTTCAGAAAACAACGGAAACAGCTACCAACTTCATTTAAAGATTCATACAAACCAGACAAGACAAAACAGAGAAAAAGTAGTAGAACAATGTTTTGTAAAATCACCTCATTCTTCTCCCCCACCTCATTGGAAGCAACCTAAAGAAAATGAAAAACATAAGCAACAACTAAAAAGTAAAAAAAATTGTATTTAGTGGTGGTGAAGAGGTGGACATACAGTCGTTGAAACTAGCAGAGAAGTTGCCAATACAAACAGCAGCGTAGCTTTGAAAGCCATTGGTGAGAAAAATGCTCCAATGCAGTGGTTGGACACTGAGTGCAGTGGTTTAAATAGAGTTTGCAGCTGTAAAAAATTTGATTTTAATTGCTTGGTTTCATAAATGCTGCTTTCCAGCTTTTCACCAGATCACCGATGCCTTAGTTAAAGGCCTTGCTGCATTATTATATGATATTGGTATTATATTTATGCTATTTTTAATCAAATAATTATGTGTTAATATTATATTAAGAGTTTGATAGAGGAAGGTTCAACCCCACTTTTCCCAAGAGACTGTCTGCTAAAGTGTGTGCCATGCCCACATTCATACACGAGGTCTGACAATTTTAGACTTTAGGTCAGATCTAAAATTGCTAGTATGATACGACAACACTAATATATAAAACACCCACGTAAATTGAATAATGCACATATGAATATGTTACCATTACATGTGAAATAAATATGCAGATTAAAGAGATTCATTCAATCCCTAAAAAAACAAAGCAAATTTTCCTAGCAGATTCCTCTATGTGAGACACACAACTACAAAACAATATATCTCGTTAAAATACCTCTCAAGTCTTAAATGAAAGTAAAAAAGTGTGCCAAATCAATATCCAAACATAATTAGATTTTGAGCAACATATAACTTGATTATATAAGTATTAATCTATAATCAATATGGATTTTTAAATCGTGGAAAAAGGTGACACGGGATGCTTATTTTGGGAAAGGGTGGGTGTGAAGGAAGGAGATAATGAATGAAAATTGTTTGGTAATGCGACAAAAAATCTATCAAATCTTCTTTATGGTTTAGGCCCCTTCTGTAACCCTTAGACCCGGCCTATGCATTTCGACTAAGTCTAATGGATCACATTATGATTATTAAAGACATTTTTCGCAACCGTTATTCCATCAATATAAAATCACATTATAAATAACATGAAATTATAAACAAATTATACTATCAAAATCCAACTCGTAAATATAGTACAAATAAATAATAATTTAATTTAAAACATGTCTTCAAATTCAAAATCACAATAAACCGAGCAGTATTAGCAAAAGAGTTATCATTATAAAATCCGATATTTTAAAATAAGGTCCATGTCACCAAAATAAAGTCAACTTGCCAGATAAAAACATTACAATCTGATTTACTTCAAGAGATATGTTGATCCTCCAAGTGCTCGAACCAAGGTATCTAACCAACAGTATCTGAAAGGGGGAAAACATTTTCAAAAGGTGAGCTAGGCTCAGTGTGTCCCAACATTTCCATAAAATCACAATAGGTACAAATCATAGTCCAGTAATCTCACAAATTCGTAAAAGAGTTTAACTTTTTGAAAATCATAGTTTAAACCCTTTTCTGGTACACCATCAGTAGTTCCCAAAATTATTTTCCATATAGCTTACTTTATGCACATAGCAAAAAGAAAGCCGACTTAAGGATAGGCTCTGAAGCTTGTATCCTTAAGCCCAAGTCAATAAGTCCATATAGCTTACCCTAAGCACACAACAAAGGAAAGCCGACCTAATGAAACATCTTAAGGCCCTCAAGAGTCACATTAGGCCCATTTAGCTTGATCAGAGCTATTCCATCTAAATTCAATTCCAAAATTCAATTGCACATTGACATAAATTCCATAAATCCAAAAACATGGTAATCATATACCATTTCAAAACAAAATTAGATAGCAGCCATATTCCATAAATTGTCACATTAAATTGGTGCATCCATAAAACAATAACCAATGAATTCGGTGTACCACATATTAAAACCAATAAAACAGTTCAGTAATAAGTAGGGAACACACCTCGACAATAGATTCAAATAACAAATCTACTGACTGCTGGTTTCACCACGCTCTGCTACAGTTTTCGAACGGGTGAATACTGGCACACGTGGTTTAACTGATCTAGAAGAGCTGGGTCGAGCTGTCGAACGATCCGGAGAGTCTCTTGTACCTTCAAACAATAATATTTATCAGTCTCAAATCCTATTTAATTGTTCAAAGCTAAACTTCTTAAGTATATACGCATTTTTTTTTGGGTTTGACTATCAATTTGAGGTATTTCGAGTCTGAATTTGGCCAAACGGATTACGGAATCGGAATCAGGGCGTCGAAAAACATAAAGTATGACTTTTCGAAAATTCAAATTCTTGGTCAAAGTCAAAGTCAACCACTTTGACCGTAGATTTGGAGACCTTCAGATTCGAATTTGACAAAACGGACCACGGAAACGGATTCAGCACGTCGAAAACTATCAGGATAGGTATACTCGGAAAAGATTAACGGTCGTTTAATGCTCGGTCAAAGCCATTTTAAGTTTTGGTCAAAGAAAGTCAACGGTCAACGGTTGGATCGGGTCAACGGTCGGGTCGGGTCGGGTCAACGGTCGGGTCGGGTCAGACCGGTCAAACCAGTTCAGACCGGTCAAACCGATTCGAACCGGTTGAAACCGGTCAAACCGGTCAGAACCGGTTGAAAACCGGTTAAACCGATTTCCAGCAGCCACTCGCCCTGCGGCGGCGCGTGTGGCGCGTGAGGCGTCCTCCGGGGCCCTAAAAATCCCGAAAAAATTTCTAAAAATTATTTTGAGCGATTTCAAGATACTTACAACGATCGGTTCAAATTTTTGAACGGCGGAGAGCTCGATTTCAAATCGGCCGAATCTTTGACTGCACCACCTCCTCACGCGCCGCCGTCTACGGTGGACAAGGTTGACACCGGTGAACTCGGAACGGCACAAGGAACACGATGGTGCGGGAGGTGTCGTAAACGGAGCAACGATCAGCGGTGAATTTAAGATTTCCTCGGCGATAGAGCTAACAAAACCGTCGCTACTTTGACTGGAAATTCCCGACGTTTGGTCGCGTTTCGCTTCAATTAATTTGAAGGGTTTGTTCCTCGCTCGATGATGAACACAACGGTGGTTTCAAAACAACGATCAGAATTCGGACGGTGTTTGGATCGGACTTGAAAATGGAGGTGTGAGAGGAAGAAAATTGAAAAAAAAGCTTTTGTGTTTTCTGATTGAAATCAGAAAACACGTTAGTTATAACAAACTTGCCGACACTTTTAGGGGAAATTCAGGGCTTGGTCCCTGAATTTCCTTTACTTTGAAAATGGCATACAAGTTTTCATAAATTATACTTTAGTCACTTAATTTCACCCATTTTCACAATTTACCTCCAATTTCAATTAAATATTAATTTGAAAATCGGGTTGTTACAATTCTCCCCCTCTACAAGAAATTTCGTCCTCGAAATTTACCTTATGAGAATAGTTGAGGAAACTGAGCCTCCGTTGACTCCAATGTCTCCCAAGTAGCTTCTGAGGGGCCTCGATTACTCCACTGAACTTTGACCATTGGAATTCGTCTATTCCGAAGAACTCGTTCATCTCTCTCCAAGATCTGAATGGGCTCCTCTTCATATGACAAATCAGGTCTCAACTCTACTTCTTCAACCTGAATAATGTGACCTGGATCTGGACGGTATCTCCTCAACATTGATACATGAAAGACATCATGAATACGACTTAGCTCAGAAGGCAAGTCAAGCTGATATGCAACAGGTCCTACCCTCTTCAAGATACGAAATGGTCCAATAAATCTTGGACTCAATTTACCCTTACGCCCGAATCTCAATACTTTCTTCCAGGGTGAAACTTTCAAAAAGACCCGATCTCCCACTTCAAACTGTATATTCTTCCTTCTTTGATCTGCATAAGATTTCTGCCTATCAAATGCCTCTTTCAGACGGTCACGGATTAATCTGACTGTGTCCTCCGTCTCTCGCACTAACTCAGGTCCCAACGTTTTCCTATCACGCAACTCAGTCCAACAGATCGGAGTGCGACATTTACGCCCATAGAGCGCTTCATAGGGTGCCATACGAATGCTGGTCTGATAACTGTTATTGTAAGCAAATTCAGCCAACGGCAAAAAGTTCTCCCAACTACCATGAAAATCGATTACGCAACCCCGCAACATATCCTCCAGAATCTGAATTACTCTCTCATATTGACCATCAGTTTGTGGATGAAATGATGTACTATAATCCAATCTTGTTCCCAAAGCCGTATGTAACGCCTTCCAAAATCTCGAAGTAAATCTCGGATCTCGATCAGAAATAATAGACAATGGAACACCATGCAATCTGACAATCTCTGAAATATACAATCTTGCCAGCTTATCCAAAGTATAATTTACTCGCACAGGAATGAAGTGAGATGACTTTGTAAGTCTGTCAACAATCACCCAAACTGAATCTTTTTTCGAAGGAGTCATCGGCAAGCCAGTAACAAAATCCATAGTAATACGCTCCCATTTCCATTCAGGAATCTTGATAGGCTGTAACAAACCTGATGGATGTTGATGTTCTGCCTTAACTTGCTGACAAGTCAAACACCTAGCCACAAAGTCAGATATGTCTTTCTTCATACCAATCCAATAATACCTCTCTCTCAAATTCCGGTACATCTTATCTCCTCCGGGTGCATAGCATATGGACTACTATGAGCCTCAGTAAGGATAGTCTGCCTCAACTCAGCATCATCAGGCACACAATATCTACCTTTAAAGCATAAAACTTCATCCTGATCAATTGCGTAATCTGTGTTTGTCCCCTGCTCTACTTGCTCAAAGATGGAAAGCAAGGAGCTATCAAGGGGCTGCTTAGCTTTGATCTCATCAACTAAGGTCGGCTTAACTTGCAATTCTGCTAACAAAGTGCCATCGTCATATAAATTCATCTTGGCCATTAAAGACCTCAACTCTGATACCGTCTTTCGACTCAAAGCATCTGCTACAATGTTAGCTTTACCAGGGTGGTAATCAATCACGCAATCATAATCCTTTAGGAGCTCTAACCAGCGACGCTGTCTCAAATTAAGTTCCTTCTGGGTCAGAAGATACTTTAAGCTCTTATGATCTGTGAAAATGTAACACTTCTCTCCATAAAGATAGTGTCTCCAAATCTTCAAGGCAAAAATTACTGCTGCCAACTCTAAATCATGAGTAGGATAGTTACTCTCATGCGGCCGCAGCTGACGGGATGTATAAGCCACCACCTTACTTTCCTGCATTAAAACACAACCAAGTCCTGAATGTGAAGCATCACTATACACTGTAAAATCCTTC